TGTGCTTGCCATCGACCCGTTGCACGACATACTGGCAAAGAGCACGGCTCAAGGAAATCTACATCCCCTTGGAGGAAATGCTATGCATATCCGAGCTTCGCTTTACGCGGATGACGCCGCGGTTTTTCTTGCGCCTATTATGGAGGACGTCCAATTTTTCACTGACACTCTCAAGCACTTTGGGGATGTCACTGGCCTTGTCACAAATTGTTCCAAAAGTTTTGTCGCCCCAATCCGTTGGAAAAATGTTGATCTTCCAGACATCCTCCAATCCTTCCCGGCCAAGCTTTCATCCTTTCCGATGAAATACCTTGGGTTGCCTTTATCTGTCAAGAGGTTGAAGAGAATTCACTACCAGCCCCTCGAGGACAAGATGCGGATCAGCTCACCCCTTGGGTGGGGTGGCCAAACCGTAACCTTTGTCCCTTATGTAAGCAGGCTCAGGAGTCAGCGACCCACCTTCTATTCCAATGCAGATACACTATGAGAGTTTGGCGCATGATCAAATATTGGTTGGGTCTCCATGATGTGCATTCTAGTGATTGGAGCCAAAATGGTACCAAGAAGACACAATCGCGAAGACCACTTGCTTCCTTGATGCTTCTTGTCTCTTGGGAGTTGTGGAATGAGAGGAATGCGCGGATCTTTCGTAATACTGTTGTCCTGGTTGAAGTTATTGTTGCTAGGATTAAAGAGGAGGCGTCGCTTTGGAGCATGACGGGGACGAGGCACTTGAGTAATATAATGTCGCGAGAGTGATTGTTGTAATTCGGTCATGGGTCTTAACCTCTTAAACTTCTCTCTTAATCAATGAAAATGGCAAATCTTTTGCCGTGTTTAAAAAAAAAGCTCCTTATCAACCACCATACAATTTTCATTTTTCGATGGATCAGCCACAATAATAATTAAAGAGTGAAGTGCATCAAAGGTCCTCAAACTATTTAAAAGGTGTTATGTAGGTCCTCGAACTATGAAAAGGGTCATTCATGTCCTCAAAGTGCAATATGCGTGTCATCCGAGTCCTCGAACTATTTTAGTGGTGTCATGTAGGTCCTTAAACTATTTTAAATGTGTCACATACGTACACACTTATTGCACTTCAAGGATTTTTGAGGACCTGGATGACACTTTTCATAGTTCGAGGACCTATGTGACACCTTCAAAATAGTTCGAGGACCTAGGGTGCACTTCACTCATAATTAAATGTCCTAAGAAAAACATTAATTGCCACATTGGTGAATGGTGACTCTTTCAATATTACACAAGAAATCTCAAGTGCAAACAAAATTAAAGCAGTAAACAAGCATTGATGATCCCGTTGAGGCCGGTAGAGAGATATGAATACAGAACCGGTCGAAATCACGAAGTATAGCACGAATGCATGCGCGGTCATGCACGGTTGATCAGACGGGGCGCGCGAGCATTTCATGTCCTTTGGGAGGCAGCTCAGGCAGGGCCTGCTCGTTCGGCTTGTGCGGTCCATGGCCCTGAGCCGGAGGAGGAGAAGCGGCGGGCATCTGCGTGTCCGGCGCGTGCGCACGGTAGCCTTGTGCAGGAAGAGGGGGCAACTGCGCGTTCGGCGTTCCATAGCCTTGTGCCGGAGAAGCCACAGGAACAGGAACATGGGGGAGCTTCGCGTTCGGCGCTTGGCCGTACCCCTGCCCCTGGGGAGAAGCCTGCTGCGGGAACTGTGGCTGTGCCGTCGGGATCTCGGCGGCGGCCGGCATCTGCTCGCCTTCCTTTGGGGGCGCGGCGGCGGCGTTGGCAGTAGCGGGAGTGGCTGGCTGCGTGCTGAGCATGATGTAGGAGGTGAGGCCGAGGGCAGTGGCGACGAGCGTGAGCACGGCGCCGCCGGCGAAGATGCCGTCCTTGAGGACGTAGCACCCACCGTACCCTGACGAGTACCGCGTCCCAGTGTCGTTCCACTTGGCGCCTTCCACCAGCAGCCCGAAGGCGACCACCGCCGCGATCCTGCATGCACGTTTTAGTCAGCAGACAGCGGTTCGTCACCCACGCGCGGGCGTGCTCTGCTCCGGCGAGCTCGCGCTTGTTGGTTGACGATGGATCGATCACTCACCATGAGAAGACGGCGCAGACGATGCCAATGACCCGGTTGGTCTCGGAGGGGATGGCGCGGGACTTGCAGCAGCCGCAGCAGCCGCCGACGACCGCGAAGATGATCTGGCCTATGATGAGGAAGATGGCCGCGCAGACCCCGAGCCCCAGCGCGGGGTTCTGCGGGTACAGGCACACACCTCGATACTGGTACACGGTCCAAGCCTGCGAGATGTATATCAACAGAGAGCAAGAAGAACACACACATCGGCATGTACAAACGCGCGCACATACAGACACACGCCAACAATCCAAGAATCCAAAATCTGTAGTTCTAAACCACGGTTGAACAAAGCACACAGAGACATGTACAGCACTAAGCAAGGAGATGGAAGTAGTGGGTACTAGCTTACAGTGAGCTTCGTGCCCTCGGCTGAGAACCCGAGGATGGCGCTCAGCACCCCGAGAGAACCGATGATCGACGACACGATGATCATCCGCCGATCCATTTTCATGGCCGCTGCTCTCGATCCAATCTCGACCTCTTTCGAGTTGTAGCCGGTTGACGTGCACCCTTGTTTATATAGAGAGAGCTCGGCATGTATGTGTGGTGGCGCTGGTTGACGTGGTTCCGTTCGTGCAAGCCTATATGTCACTACGAAGGGGAAAATTTCTGTGGCGACCTTTCATCATTACGTTTTTTATATGTGTGGGAATAATTAAGAAAGTTAATGGTCTTAGAAAAACCTACCTCTTGTAGGGAGTTGACATGTTAAACAGCTTCGTCGTGACCACCTTGTACGAAGTTATAGGATATTTTTTAGACGACGAAAATAAGGTAGGATATGGGCTTTTTTTTACCAAGAAATACCTTGGTGCTCCTGGGTACTCGTGCTGCACCAAATAATTTAGTAAATTCAAAAGAAATCAAAAAGTCCGAATCTTTTTTGAAATAAAAATGCGATCAAGTATTGTACCCGCAATAAAAGTTTGGCCACGGAATGATTCCCATTGACATCACGGCAAAAAAAATCTATGACGACAATATAGAATGAATACTACTTGTATATAGCGGGGGTTTTCGAGGAAATTTTTTGTTTTTGTCACTCTAAATTTTGCCAATTTTCCTTATGTCATTCTAGATTTTGACATTTCACTTTTGCCATTCTTAGTTTTTGAGAATTATCACAATTGACATTCCCATAGCAAAAGCAAAATTTTCAGAATGGCAATTGTGATACATTTCAAAAGCTAAGAGTGGCAAAAATAAAATAAAATCCTTCTTCTTTTGCCACGGAATGGCAATTGTGATAATTGTCAAAAGCTAAGAGTGGCAAAAGTGAAATGTCAAAATCTAGAATGGCATAATGAAATTGGCAAAATCTAGAGTTGCAAAAATAAAAAAAATTCATTTTTTCGAATCATTTGATCCAGGATACAATGAGAGTTATTCCCCGATGGATCTTTTTATACGAGTGCAATACTTGATCAGTTGATTCCCAAATAATTTCGGAATGTTTTGACCTTTTTTTGAATTTCTATATTTCTTTTGCATATATATAGGGTGCACGTACACCGGGAGCACCAAATTCGCGTCCCCTTTTTTACGCCCTTACCAGCATTTACCCTGGGCGACGGCAACAAGGCAAGCTTTTGCAAACCAGCTTGGCAAATGGGCATAGGTTGAAGGACTTGCGCCTTCAATTTTTTGCCATTACAAAGCGGAAGAATTGGTGCGTACAAAAATGCTCTCAGAATCATGCTTGGGTATACCTAATCAACATCACGAATTGACTTATGATGCAACACATTCAAGATTTCACTACTATTTCTACTTGATTAAACCTGAAATACCTTTTGGATCCAGATTTTTTTAAAATTCAGAAACCATATTGTGAAGTATCAAAAAAATTCTTAAAAATACCCACATACCTTAGGGATGTTTGCTAGATTTCTGTAAATTTACATGATGAAATGTGTTTTCTGTGTACCTATCACCAAAATGTATTTCATCATTACAATTTGCAGGAACGTAGTACACATCACTATGAACATGCTTATTTTTCAGAAAAAAATTAAACTTCAAAAAAACCATTCGTGATATTTTAAAAAACTAGCCTATGAGCAAGAAATCCACACTCTCACTTTCTCTATTTCATCTGGACTTCCGCTGCCCTACGGGCATCGCTGGCCACATTGAGTTGTCTTGGTGCCTTGCGTTAGTAGCTTGCCACACTCTCACTCTTCCTGGTCATTGCCACTGTAATGAACGTGATCTGAGTTATGGCCGTCGCGCATGTGCTGCTTATGCCCGACATCGCTGCCTCCGCCACGCTTTGAATGGATTCCTAAGAGCAACTCTAGCAGACCCCGCAAAACGCCCCGACCCATAAAATAACCGTCAAATTGCGGGTCGGGGTCAGAAAATCTGCACGGTTAGACCCTGAAAGAGCATTTACCTACTTTATGTTTTGGATGATGATGACAACTCTTTGTGGTCTAATCGTGTGCTATATGTTTCAGGTTCTCGATGCTTAGGCTTACATCGGATTGCTATTGCCTCTCGTAGGAAAAGATCGAAGACGTGTTCTTTACGTTTTTTTATCTTTAGTCGTAGGGTACCCGTACTATCAAGAGGGAATCCACATTAGGAAGCTCTGGGGGAATCAGTTTACGTACACTTTCCTCACCCCTTCTTTGTCTTCCTCAGTTATGAGAGAGAGAGAGAGTTCCCCCTGTCCTTCCTTCTTGTTTCTGCTCTTCCCAGCGGTTGTACCGCTCCCTGGAGCGGTTGTACCGCTGGATCTTGACGCTCTCCAGCTTTGACTGAGCGGTTGTACCGCTGCCTCCGGGCGGTGGTACCGCCACCTTGCTCAACAAAGGCTAGGACGGTGGTTCCGGCCATGCACCGCTCAAGTACCGCTCAAGATTCTGTTTTGATGCGGTTCTCGGGCGGTGATGGCCCGGTTGATCCGGTCGATCCTCGTTGACCGGTACCACCGGTGGTCTGAGCGGTTCTTCCACTCAGAACTTCGCCGTCCAAGAGCTTAGGGCCATGCGGTTGTTCCGGTCTTGCACCGCTCAAGTACCGGTCTCGTCTCTGTTTCGAAGCGGTAGTTGTGCGGTGGCTGGGCGGTTGGTCCGGTCGTTCTCTTAACCGGTGCCACCGCCTAGTGGACCGGTTGTACCGCCTGATAGGGTTCTACAGCTACACCGTGAGTCCTGGTTGTACCGGGACAAGGACCGGTTGTACCGCTACGGGGCTGAAAACGCAGCAACGGCTGGATTTTTAGGGTTGGTATTTAAGAGAGCTTCTCCCACCTACCACTCTCACCTTTGACCTCTCGCACTCCACCATTAATGCACTTCAAACTCTCTTGCCCGATCTCTCTCTCTAGCCACTCAAACTTGTTGATTTGCTAGGGATTGAAGGAGGAGACCTAGATCTACACTTCCACCAAAGGATATTTGCTTCCCCCATACTTTCTTGTGTGGATTTTGTTACTCTTGGGTGTTTGAGCACCCTAGATGGTTGAGGTCACCTCGGAGCCATATTTCATTGTGGTGAAGCTTCGTGGTTTTGTTGGGAGCCTCCAATTAAGTTGTGGAGAGAGCCCCAACCTTATTTGTAAAGGTTCAGTCGTCGCCTTCAAGGGCACCAATAGTGGAATCACGACATCTCGCATTGTGTGAGGGCGTGAGGAGAATACGGTGGCCCTAGTGGCTTCTTGGGAAGCATTGTGCCTTCACACCGCTCCAACGGAGACGTACTTCCTCTCAAAGGGAAGGAACTTCGGCAACACAGTCTCGTCTCCACCGTCTCCACTCTTGGTTATCTCGTGCCTTTATTTGAGCAAGCTTAGTTGTTTCATATCTCTTGCTTGCTTGTGTTCCTATCCTTGTTGCATCATATAGGTTGCTCACCTAGTTGCATATCTAGACAACCTACTTTGATGAAAAGTTTAAATTGTTAAAGAAAAGCTAAAAATTGTTAGTTGCCTATTCACCCCCCCTCTAGTCAACCATATCGATCCTTTCAGACCCCGCATCTCGCGGCGGCCCGCAAAAATTTTTGCGGGGCGCAGCAAATCTTCTCCCCCAACCTCTATTTTTACGGGCTGGGAGGCTAACCCGAGCTCGACCCCTATCCGGCGCGAGATTTGGCGAGAGGGACATTTCCGCGCGCCCTTTCCCGCTCCCCGCACCCTCCACCACCATTGCCCCCCTCCGCAAGCTCCGACAGCTCCTCGCCGGCCTTCCCTCGCCTCCATGGATGACCCCATGCTGTCCCCTGTCACCGTCGAGGTCGCGCACGCCCCTCCTCCTCGGGCGGATCTCGTTGCCAGCCATGTTGGCCCCGCCGCCGTCGCCCAAGCACACGCCGCGCCTGCCTGCAAGCGGCAGGGCAACGTGGTTGTGCAGGGCGGG